AGGAAGGGAGGACGGACAGACACAGAGACAAAGACAAAGACAGAGAGTCGGGGAATCAGAAAGCTGGGGACAGGGCTCACAGGAAGGACAGATAGATAAGGCATCACAGGAGGATGATGGGAGAGACAAGAGTCTCCCTGGGGAGGGTCATCAGACACAAAGGGAAGGAGACAAGGTTGGAGAGAGGCAGACATTGCGCTCAGCTCTTCTGCAAGAGAGCAAAACCTCTCAGGGGTGGGGGCTCCAAGCTGAGCTGGAAGAACCTGTCCCAGAGTCTGGACCCCTGCAGCCCCGTTCCCCATCCTCTGAGGCTGTGTGCCCCAGACCCTGGCCCCAGCCCTCCAAGGCCACAGGCCACCACCCTGCCCTTGCCCCGGCCCAGCTCTCACTCACCCCCAGGGGCTCAGCATGTCCACACACTTCACAGGGGGACCCCGGTGTCCAGACTCTCCTGCTCCTGAGGGCACCCAGCCACCCCACATCCCCAGTGGGGTCCCATTCCAGCTCGGCTATGGGACCTTCCTGTGGGGGACCACCCCTCTCGCTCCCAATCCCAACCCTCGGGCCAGGCCCCGGCCCATCTGAGTCAGTGTCTGAGTCTGGATCTTGGATTGAGGCAGGGTCCTCAAACACCTGGAAGCAGAGGTCAGGGGTAAGGGGTCAAGGATCAGAGGGGCTGGGGGAATCACAGATGGTTATACGCAGGAGTCATAGTGGGAGGGGGAGGGCGTAAGTAGATGATGCTAAGAGGCAACAGGGACAGGGTCAGGGGTCCCAGTGGGTTACATTTGGAAGGGCTGGGATCAGAGAGGGGTTGAGGTTAAAGGGCTGTCAGGGATCACAGCTTGGGGGGGTAGGGGAGGGGGCGGTACTAGAGCCTCAGTGGTCCATACCAGGCTGTAGGCAATCAGCTGGCCACGACGCCTATTGAGGCGCCGGAAGATGCCTTCACAGTAGACAGTTGGGGTCACCCTGCCCTCCCCAAGGGTGGCTGTGCTCCAGGGCTCCTTCCTCCGCATCGCATCGGACTCTCCCTGGACACCAGCAGGACCCCGCCTGCTCTGCTGCTGGCTGATCATTAACCAGGAAGGCCTAGGGGGAACCCAGACACTGGAGACCAGTCCCTCCCCCCCAATCCGGAGCGACCCCGGTCAGCTGGCACCTCTGTGTGGACCCATGCTTCCAGGATAGGCTTGGCCCACCATCTCGGGCACCCAGGTGTCTGGGACCACCAGCCCCTCTCTTCCCTGTCTAGAACAGGCTGCCATTCCCCCAGGGACCCAAGTGGGCAGGATCCTAGCAACTCTCCTAGGACCCCGATGGCCAAGCCTCCATCTCCTCCCATGAGGAACCAGGTGTGCAGCACCAGAACCTAAACCAACCCTCAGGAGACCCAAAGGTCTAGGTCCCATCCCCTGCACCCTCAGGGTTTGGGGGGACCCACTCATGGACCCAGGTGTCAGCCTCTTGTCCCAGCTGGGCCAGCCACAGGTGTGAAGATCTCCTCCAAGGACCCTGAGGGCAGAGCACAGATCCACCATCCTCCCCCTGGAGTCCAGTTCTGTAAGTTTTCCTAGACGTTCCTTCCAAGCCTCTCCTCCAAACCTTCCCACCTGAAAGCCAGCTTGCCACTCTCGTCCTCTTCTCTCTCCCCACCATACCTGGAGCTGCTGAGTTAGGCAGGACCAGCAACTGCTCCCAGCAGGGGCCAAGGTCCAGGCATCTGCTGCAGGGAGCGGGGGAGCAGGGAGCGGGGAGTGGGAAGGTTCAGGGAGTCCAAGTCTAGGGTGGGCCTCCAGGGCCTGGAGGGGAGGGGGAAGTGAGAAGGGGTATCTGGATACAAGGGTTAAGGGGGAAATAAATGGGATTCTGGGTGCCAGCCTCCCGAGGGGCAGATGCCAGGGTCCCTGATGACAACTGGGATCCTACAGGGACAGGGGCTGGAAGGGGGTGGAACATTTCTTGCTAGGTGCCCCTGCCTGGGACCCAAGCATCCTATCTCCCAACTTCCTATCCTCCAAGGAAAAGGCCCAGCCCCTTCACAGGGCTCTCCAAAGTCTCACCCAGGACAGGGATGTCTCCTCAGGGAGGCCTGAGACCTTTCCCTTCCCCTTCCCCTCCCCCCGAACTGGGGTGGAGCCAGCACCCAGGAAACTCTATGCCCAGCTCAGGTGACGCTTGGGCAAGTTAACCCCTTCATTCCTGAAGACTGGCCTTCCCTCTGGCTCCTGGGGATCTGGAGGTCCATTTCCCTGCAGGGCCTCAAGCTCCTGGTTGCCCCCTCCCCAGCCTCCACATCCTCCCTCAGTGACCAGGTGTCTGCCCCACCCCCTAGCCTCTGCCTCCCCCCTCAGTGACCAAGTGTCTGTCCCCCCAGTTTCTATATCCTCCCTCAGTGACCAGGTGTCTCCCCTCCCAGCCTCTGCCCTTAGTGACTGACCAAGTGTCTGCCCCCTCCCCCCCAGTCTCTATATCCTCCTTCAGTGACCAGGTGTCTGCCCCACCTCCCCAGTCTCTGCCTCCCCACTCGTTGACCAGGTGTCTGCCCCACCCCCCAGCCTTTGCCCTTAGTGACTGATCAAGTGTCTGACCATCCCCCCAGCCTCTATATCCTCCGTCAGTGACCAGGTGCCTGCCCCACCCCCCTGCTTCTGCCTCCTCCCTCAGGGACCAGGTGTCTTGCTCCCTCCTCCCCGCCTCCTTCCTCGGTGATCAGGTATCTGGTCTCCCCCACCCTCAGCCTCTGCAGGCATCTTGCCCACCGCCCCGCCCCAACCTCCTTCAGGATACCCGCACCTGCTCCCAACCCTGCCTCTGCAGGGACACAGGCGTCCAACCCCCAATGAATCTAAAAGCTCGAGGTAATTGTAGTTTATTCCTGAACCAGGATGGGAACTTGGCAGGCAGAATCACCTCCCCAATGACTGCGATGGGACTGCTTTCTCCCTAAATTCTTTCTGCTGACTCAGACCCAGGAGTAGTGAGGCAGACAGGAAAAGTTGTATGGTCAACTGCCTTCCTGGTGCTTGGAGATCTCTGGGTTCACTTGGTGCTTCGAGATTTCTTGCTCAGCAAGAGGCTGGTCCGGAGCACTCGCGGGACCCTTCGAATAGTGAGGGAGACGCGCGTGCCCCGGGGGAGCAGGGCGTCAGGCTGGGCCGAGGGGCAGGCAGCAGCATTGGCCACGGGGGTCTCAGTCAGAGCGTCTATCGATGTCGGGCGGATGCCGTGGAGGAGGTGGGTGTAAGCTTCACCTCGGAGGACCAGGAGGCTTCGGGGCTCCAGCAGCAGCGAGAACTTGGGGAGAGGCTGGGGCTGGAGAGCAGAAAGGGCAAGGGTGGAGGATGGCCCCTGTCAGCTTGGCGGGCTCCAGGGGGTCCCAACTCCCTCCCTTCACCGGCCCCTCACCTGCTCCTCTCGAGGGTCCTTCTCCAGCTCAGGCCCTCGGGGCAGGTACATATCTAGGACAGTGTGGGAGCCAAGGCTGATGGTGCTGACCGTCGGGTAGTACAGAGGGCCGTCCTCATGGGGCTGGGGGTGGGCAGAGCCAGAAGAGGGAACTCAGGACCCAGACCTTAGACCCCCGTGGGCAGTGGGGGCAGGGATGGCAAGTCTATCTGGAGGGCACTTACAGGAATAACCATGGGGCACCCAGTGGGCATGTTGGGATGGGAGGGGCACTCCGGGCATATTCAAGGAGGACATCTGAGAGCACCCCCAGGGAAGCACCTGGGGAGGGCACATTCAGGACCTCTCCTCTTGGACAGTCTCTCCTCTGACCTCCACACCCCCCGACTCTCTACTGATCTGATCACCCCATGACTGGACATCCATCGCCCCCACCACTTCCCCGGCCCCCCCCCCCCCGCCCCCCCCCCCCCCCCCCCCCAGCTTTGGGGATTTCAATTCAGGCCTCACGTCTCCTGGGTCTTCTTGGCCCTCCACCCCAGTCAGCTGGACCCCCAAGCCCTCACCATCACTCTCCGATGCTGCACCCCAAGATTCTGAACTCCTAGTGTCCTCTTCCCTTGTCCCCCTGCCCACTCTTCAGCTAGGTGGCACAGTGGGCAGTCAGGAAGAGCCAAGTTCAAATCCTGCCTCAGAAGCTTACTGGCTATGTGATCACTTAACTGGTCTGTGCCTTGGTTTCCCCATCTGTAGAGCTGGGATCCTAAGAGCACGTCCCTCCCTGGGTTGTTGTGAGGATCAAAGAAGTTACTACACATAAGGTGGCCTGCCCTCCAGGAGCGGGCATTCCACTGGTGCCCGGGGCGCTTTCCGACACTCGGTCTCTGTCCAGGCTCTCCATGGCTCCAGCCACAGCCCTGTCATTTCCTGTCTCTGGCACCTTCAGTCCCTCTGGTTCCTTCCTTTCAGCCCAAGATCGCAGCCCTGTCTCCCAAGCCTAAAACAGAAGACCCTCCCCAAGCTCTGGAGCCCTCCTCTCCCTCCCCTCCCAGCTGACTTCCCTACCACTGACTCCTCTGATCCCTCTCGAAGGGCACCTAATCCCCCCATGCCCTTTGCACTAAGCTCTTTGGCATTTCTCTAGGGCCTGACCCTAAGGACTACCTCCTCCTTCCAGATTCTTCTCCACCGGAGGCTGGGCAGAGAAGCCCCGGCGCTTCCCGTTTCTGCTCTTTGGACCTTCACCCAGTTCTCAGTTCTCCTCCCACACCCCCTAGGTGAGGGGCTTCATTGGGGGCTTTCTTCTCTTTCATTCACTTCCAGGGCTGGAATCAACTCAATAAAGAAAAGCCCCAGATGTGCAGCCTGTCTGATCTTTTCATTTCCTCCCAGATATGGCAGCTCCCCAGGATGGTGCCTGGAGAGCGCCTGGGGCAGGCCTGCACAACCTGGGCCCTAGGGCCACTTGTAGCACTCGAAAAATGCAGAGGAAAACATCCTTTGTATGAACAGGAAATCTTTTGGCCTGCTGCAAGCAGCCCTCGGGCTGTAAGCTGGTCCCAGGTTGTGCAGGCCTGGCCTGGAGGATGCCATTTGGAGGGGGTGTCAGGAGATCCAGTGTCTGAGGGAACTAAGAAGGTTATATACCTGTATATTCAGGGGCTCTGACTTCCCATAATGCCCTCTCTGTGGGTACAGTGGCTGGGTGTGAGAAGGTTACACACTCATATGTTCAGGGGCTCTGA